TACAAGGAACTATATGTGACCTCCTCCCTGGGGGACAGACAACAGAAAAGTGGGTGAAGGGAGACGTCGGACAGGGCAAGATATGACAAGATACCAATTTATAAACTATCAAGGGCTCATGAGGGAGTGGGGAGCGGGGAGGGAGGGGAAAAATGAGGACCTAATACTGGGGGTTTAAGTGGAGAGGAAATGGTTTGAGAATGATGAGGGCAATGAATGTACAAATGCGCTTTACACAATTGGTGTGTGTATGGATTGTGATAAGAGTTGTATGAAAGAAAAGCTGGGTTTAAGTTCTGAAACTTCAAGATGGCACACCCACTCTGGAAGACAGTTTCATAATCTACCAGAAATGTTCTAAGTTACACAACTGATTTGAAAACTTATACCCACACAAAAACTGGTACATGAAGGTTGATAGCAGCTTTTTCATAACCATTAAAAAATAAAAGCAACCAAGGTGTCCTTGAATCGGTGAATGGATTAACAAATGGTGGCAAAGCCATTCAAGGGAGTGTTAATCAGAAATCAAAAGCAAGAAACTAGACATTCACATGTCAACAAGGATGACTACCAACTGTGTTTTGCTGAGATCAAAAAGACTGTACAAGGAATGATTTTATTCCTAAAACATTCTGGAAAAGACAAAACATTAAGGATGGAAAATCAGGGTTGCCAGAGGTTGGTGGAGGGGCTGGTTGGGTAGGGTTAGGGTTAGGGATCACAGGGAATGCTTTGGGGCGGTAGAGGAACTCTCTTCGTGGTAGTAGGCCCAGGCATTTGTAGTACAAAAGGTGAACTTTAATGGATCCAAATTAAATCAAAAGCAGATGGTGACATCTCAATGAAGTGGGGGCACAGGGATGGGGTGGGGTGGGGAGGTGGTGATTTCAGTTACGTTGGAAAAAACAAGAGTATTGACTGGAAACTGTAAGACTAATGATAAGACAGACAATATAGATAAATACTGTACTCTAGCTGGTAAAGTTCTTTCTCATGGGACCATAGGTTAATAATTCAAAAACTGCTATCGTCTCATAGTTAGACTTAAGAGTGAACAAACGAACAGACGGCAGCAGTTTTCTGACTGAAGAAGGAAGGTCTGCGTAAGTGGACTAGTATGCGGGCTAGTATGAGCCATGGGATGAAGATTTGAGTGGGAGCTATCAATAGAAACATGCTTTTTATTGGGATGGACGCATACATATAGAAATGATTATGAACACGTACTTGAGCATGAGTTCATATTTTCTAGGTCTGTCCACTGAGGAGCCATAGTAATGCCACTCCAGTAGTAGTTAGCACACATAGAAATCAGATCTTGGTTTTTAACACTATTCACAGTAAAAAAACAAGTAGGGATCCTTAGAAAATGGCTGATTCTAGGACTGGGGCAGAGAAAATACAAGATAAGGCTGAAGAATTGTTTGGTGTCAGAGAGTACCAAAATGAAACCCACTGCCATCGAGCTGGTTCTGACTCTGTGGTGGTGGTGGTGGTGGTGGTGGTGGTGATGGTGGTGGTG